GGGATAAAGGTGGAGGTATTAAAGGGACTTTACCTACGTTTGTGACTTTGTTGCTTTTGTGCCACACCCCGGGTCATCACAGCTCTCTGCCAGCAAAAATGGAGCTTGGGGCCCTGTTTTCAGCTGTGATGGCTTCCTGCAGCCCTCGCCAACGTTGGCCAGTCCTTTGCTATTTCCAGGGCAACCCCTGGGACAAATCTAAGCACCGTGTGGTCCGCATCCAGGCCACGAGCCTTGAGTTTGACACCCCTGCTCTAATAACATTTTTTTAGGGTATTTTATTTCGGGTCTCCCTTGCCTTAATTCATATTAATGTCGATTGCTATTTTTTTCCATGACAAGAAATTGGCACACGGTATAAACATGAGCAAGAGTTAAATAGCATGAAAAGCTAGCAAAATGGGGAAATAACAGGGGTACTGATATTTCTCTCATTCGGAGGCCCCCCTTACTTTGTTTATGACTCTGTGGGTTGTGAAGAATTCTTCGTTCTCTTTTTGGATTAGGAAAAAAAAAAATTCTCAGATTGACTGAGGGTTGCAATAGAAGACATTGCTTTGTCATTGAGTGTGTGGTCTCTCCACTGCCTACTTCCCCCATGAGCCGCTGTTGACATACGCACCTCCAAGCAATGGTGACCACTAGAAAGTCGTGCTGTAGATAAAGGATTAAAAGATTGATTCTTGTGAATTTGATAATTTCATGCTGCAGTGCATCCTAGATTCACAGAGGGGGAAATTCACGGGAAGCTCCTCTTACCGAAGGACAAGCCAACTGACAGCTAGCAGAGCACTGGTTGCGTTCACGTGGCTTGCATGCTACCTAAATCACGGAGTTAATTTATCTACTTATCTATTAATTTATCCAATTAATTTATCCAGTTTGCAAATAAACTAATTAAGATTAGTGTTACCAAGTGTAGCATATTAGGCAAATGCAATGGGTTTCTAGAGGAAATGGTTAAGTGTGTACTGTAGCAGGACTGATTCAGTCATTTGCAATTCATCTAATGGCCAGAACTTCAAAAAATAGATAAGAATAATAGAATGGAATGGAATGGAATGGAATGGGAGTGGAGTGGAGTGGAATGGAATAGAATAGAATAGAATGGAGAGTAGAGTAGAGTAGAGTGGAATGTAATGGAGTGGAGTGGAGTAGAGTAGAGTAGAGGAGTGGAGTGGAGTGGAGTGGAGTGGAGTGGAATGGAATGGAATGGAATAAAATATAGACTGGAGTGGAATGGAATGGAATAGAATATAGAGTAGAGTAGAGTGGAGTGGAGTGGAGTGGAATGGAATGGAATAGAACATAGAGTAGAGTAGAGTAGAGTAGAGTAGAGTAGAGTAGAGTAGAGTGGAGTGGAGTGGAGTGGAGTGGAGTGGAGTGGATGGAGTGGAGTGGATGGAGTGGGGTGGAATAGAGTAGAGAGAGTAGAGTAGAGTAGAGTAGTATAGAGTAGAGTAGAGCAAAACAGAACAGAACAGCACAGAATAATATTTTATGGGCCAAGTATTATTGTACACACAAGGAATTTTTCTCTGGTGAAGAAGCTTTCAGTATACATACAAACCACAAGGTAATATAATTATAATATACCAATAGGAGAAGGTAGTAGAAAAGATGAGAAGAGAGAGGAAATCCAGCAAGCTTTGGCTTGATTGTCACCAGATCACCAAGCTGGTTGTGTATAAACACTGACTCGTGGCAAGCCTGGGATACAAAGTATAGCCTTTCCCAAACTTTTGGAAAAGGTTAAAGCTTTTTTTGCAGTCAGTTGCTCTGGAAACCCTTTCTCCTCCTACTGAACAGGTTTGAAAGTATCTTTCCCCTCTATTTTAAGACCCAGCGTGGTCTAAATATCCTCCTCTTCATTGCTTTCTCTGACAAGGAATCAGAAATGTAAGTTATTAGGGTGGAAACGCCCTTTGCCAATGCCCTTTCTGGCAATACTGGGGATCTAGATTAGTCAGCCATACAGTGGGCACCATACCCTCTTCACCTTGTGCCAATCCCAAGAGTAAAGCTTTGTGCCACAGAAAAGAAATCAAGGGAAGTTGTCCATAAAGAATTGGTGATTTCTTACCTGTCCTTGTTTTCGGTACAAAAGTTGCTGAGATTCTTTGGAATCTGAGATCTAGTAGATTTCCTTCCCAGAGGATCCGAGAGTTTAACAGGAACACAAAAGCCATGTAGTCTATGAGAGACCATTACTCATGTAGTGGGGAAAAAACACATCCGTTCCTGAAAAGTGGTCACCCAGCTTCTGCTTAGAAACTGCTACTAAAGGTGCATTCACCAGTTTCTCAGACTGTGGGGCTTTGTACCATAGCACTGTTCTACCTAACCTTTGAGTGGGTACTTGGTGTTTTGACCCAGGCTGAACAGAATCACGAAACGGACTCCTGGTCCACCCAAAACCTCCCTTTTTCATTTAGTTAATGTTAATTCCTGGCATTCACACCCAGAAAAGTCCCAGCAATAATCCTTCCCAGGTTTAAGTTCAAGAACAGACCTTATCAGTTCTTGGATAGTTGCCAGGCCGAGAGCTTCTAGTCGCAATGCTGTAAAAGGAAATACTTGGCAAAGAGTCTCTGTGAGGCACGAACTCGGATAAGCAAATCTTCACAATAATAAGTGAGCTAATTGTCTCCTGCAAACACCCTTTTGCTTCTATTTATCCCCCATGGGAGGGGCCATTCAGCGCCCACTTGTGCCTTTTCTTCCGAGTCGACCCCTGTTCCTTGGTTGTTCCCTTCTCCTGACAGGTCTGCACATAAACGCATCTGGAACAGGCTCCAGCTGTTCTTCTTCCCCACTTATCTCTGACTCTGAAGGCATCTGATAAATGTCAGGTGGCCCTGGCTCTCTCTCTGCCTCTGATGCAGACCGTCCATCAGAGCCTTCCCCAGACTCCAGGACTGATCTAAGTTCCTCCCTAACCTCCTCATTGTCCGAGTCTGCTGCCAGCTCTGCGGGCAGCTGGCAGGCCACAACACTTGGTGCTCTCTGAGCTTGGTTCTTTTCTTGAAGACATGTCATTACCCAAACTAGGTAACATCATCAGGGTTATGTTGACAGATGATGTTACCTAATTTGGGTAATGAAACATCTGCAAGAAAAGAACCAAGCTCAGAGAACACCGGGGACCCCAGCACCCCCATTTCAATCCTGAGCTACAAGTATTCTTCTTTATTGTTAATGTCAACTTTCCAGTTGGCTAATATGGAAAAAGAATCTCCTGGGACATCATTATTATTCCAACTTTACTGAATAAATCCACATCGGCACAGAAGAAGTGAAACCAACTCTGGGCTTCCTACGTAAAAGCATGCATGGTTCACCCCCCCTCCTTTTTCTCCATGGGCCACCCAGAGTCCATTATGTCCACCAATCCCTTCTGTTCATTTTATTATGGGAACTGGCTGGCCATGCTGGGACATCTGCTCAGGGTGTCCTTGAGGGGGGAGCAATGTTTCACGGGAACCAACGATGCTTGGATGCCATTCCCCCCCACCCTCGCATTCCAATCGACACCCACCTTCTATTCTTTGTCAAACTGCCAGCAAAGCAGAATATAGGTGAAAGTTCGAGTCAGTCTTGACAGGTGCCTAACTTTTAGACAACATCTTTGTTTAAACTTTGGGAATGCATGGTATCCTAAACCGCCTCTTAGTTGGCTGTGTGAAGCTATCCTATCTGGGGATTGGTTTATAAGTCTGTAATGTTATGCAACCCTAGGAAATTGAACTTAAACACACTACCATTCAGTTAGTCATTAGCAACCATGGCATGTGAACGCATATTTTGAACCAATTAGTCTGGTTGCTAACCTTTGTAGAATTAGAGAAAACATTGCACATCCCTTCAAGTGGCACTTGAAGAGGGCAGTCGTATCGTCTCCTAGTCATTTCTCCTCCAGGTGACAAAAGCTCTTCCAGCTTTTACTCATTGGATTTGATCTTTAGGCCTTCGGTGTATGTCTTGTCTTTCTTGGTAATATTATTAAGAAAGGACTGGTGTGTCACTGCCTCTGGACCAGAAGATTCTGATAAATTGATTCAAGTGTTGCCTTAAGATGTTGGAGCAAGGAGAAGAGAACGGGGATGACTTTCCAGACCAATTACTAGCTGGTATAAATAAATAAGTAAAAAGCCACCACAAGAAGAACGTGTGGTACATCCTATACACGCTCCATGCAGTATTTCTTGCTTTAGGAGGCATGACAGCATGCATTGTTATGCATTGCAATGATTTTGTCTCCACTTGACCTGGGAGTTCTAGATGCCTTGGAAACAACCCCTCAAAAGCCAACCATAGGGGTTTCGAAAAAGAAAGACCGGTTCGGAGGGAAAGGTTGCTATGCCTGTTGCACATTTCTAATGTCTTCTTGGGGCGGGGGCTAGCATCTTCTCCTGTAGGGCCATTCACTCCGTTTTCTTTAAGCTGAAGAATGAATCGGGGAGTGGCAGAGCCGAAGATAGGCATGGGAAAGAGAGGGAGGGAGGATCAAAGCCTTTCAAAGCCACTTTCGGGAGCCCCCCGGGGTACTCCCAATTTGAGGCCTGGTTCAACTGACCCAACGACCCAACGTGCTCAATTCCCACAGCCCCTTCCGCAGGGCCGCCGGCGCTCTCCATGGTGCTGAAAGCAAAACCCGCGGCGCGTGCGTTCGCCTCTGTCCAAAGTGCTGAAGCGAGAGCGCCGTTTCAGCCGTCAACCAACCCGCCTCTCTCTTTCTCCCTCCCCGCCACTCGCGCTAGCAGCAGTGACGTGGGCGAACGTGCAGGCGTCTCAGCCCCAAAGTCCCCGAGACGCCAGCTTGTCGAGGAGTGGGGGGGGTGGGGGAAGAAACCGAAGCGGGGAGGAGACAGCGAGCCAGCGCGCTTCCTTGGAGGCTGGCGGTTGTGTGTGTGTGTGTGTGTGTGTGTGTTTGTGAAAGATTGCGCTCGCGCGCCCCCGCGTTTTCTCAACCTACCTCTCTGGCATTCGTGGCAAATCAAGCAGTTCAACCGCCGCCACCACCGCCCCAGGAAAAAGGGGCTCGTCGTGTCATCCACCGGCTCCCGGTTTGCCTACCAGTTGCCGGCCCATGAGGTATTGTGGCAATGTTTGCGGTCTGGAGCAACGGTTTACTTCCATCCTAAATTGCCCCCGTCGATTATGGGCTGTATTGGCTCCAAAACCCCCATCGGTAAGGCTGGCTTCGTTGTTTGTGGGAAAGGGGGGTGGGGAGGAAGGTGGCTGCGTTTTCCCGTGGACCGGGACCAGCCACCCTAAGGACTGGGGGCGGGCGGGAAGAGGCTGGGTGCTCCCTTTGGAGAATGGGGTGGGGGTGGGGGTGGGGGCGGGAGGTGGTAGCAAGGAACCTGAACGACCTGAGGGGGATCTGTGCGTGTGTGTGTGTGTGTGTGTGTTTGTTTGTGGGCGGGATGCGCTCAGCCGAGCTCAGTTGGGTTTCCTGCTTCCTGCCTGGATCCTCCTGGCGTGGGTATAGCAGGTCTTGGACAGTGACTATTGCACGGTTGGCTTTCGCGGGACTGCATGGCCCCACACAGCTCCTCTCCGAGCAGTTCGTAGGTTGTTTTCTCCTTCCTTCGCTTTCTCCCTCTCCGCCCTCCCACCTCACCCGGCGTCGCCAGCTACGGCCCGAAGCCCGGCGCAATTAGCATGCTAGGGCAGGCTCGCGGTTGCCAAGGAACCGTTCTCCTTAGCAGACCTTCAGTCTCTTCGCCCCCCGCCCCCCCACGTCTCCCCAATATCAATTGCCATCCCAGAAGCAGGAAAAGGCGAAAGGAAGGGCGGGGATGAGGACGGGCGGAGAACCCCAGCCGATTAACGAGCTTCGTTAAACTCTTCTTTTCTACTCCGGCGTGCAAAAAAAAGAAAGGAAGAAGGAAGAAAGGGAGGTTTTGAATCGTACTTCCGAGCTGAGCTGAGGTCCTAGCCTAGCGTGGTTATTTTGTTGGCAACCAAGAGAGAGTTGGGCGGACGACAGCCGATTTTTCTCCAGTGAAAATAAAGGCATGCGAAAGAAAAGGTTGGCTTTGCAAGATGTGTGTATGTTATAAGTAAACCCCCCGGAAAGGGTCTGCTCTAACTCTGGCATTGTCTGGTGAAGGGAGTATCTATTCTATGCCAATTGGAAGTATTCTATGCAATTTCTTATTGTCATGTGCCTCCTAACTGATTAGACACCAACCTCCTTCTCTGGCTGCTCTGGAACCGAGAATAGCTGGTTCTTTTCTCTCAGGAGTTACCTCTGAGTTACTTGGAGTAACTCTACGCTGTTGACGTGTGTAGAATGAGCCCAGTAGAGTCTGAGAAACAGTTGCAGAAAGTTTGCCCGGGAGGTGAAGAAAGAAAACCTGTAGCGTTATACATGAGTGTTTACTTACACTTTAATATCCCATTCTTCAAACCCCCAAGCCGCCTTAGTGAGGCTTGCCGAAGGCATTAAAGATCACCGACATGCAGACAGATTGGATAATCCTTATGCAATTAATAAGGTAACCGAACAACAACAATATTAAAAAGCAGCCTAAGATCTAGAAGTCTTTAAAAAAAAACAAAGACATTGATTTTCTGTGTAAATCTCTTCTTAGTGACGGATTTCCAAATGGGGTGGGCAGCAAAGAGGACTTAAAGAATTTGGTTATGAGAACACCTTCTCAGTTATGAATGGAAAACCAGAGAGCGTGAAAGGTTTTAACAGGAGAGGCAAGTTTGGTGTAAAAGATCTTAATAGTGAGCGCTTCATTGAACTCAACAGCAACCATCCCTCAACATTTCTCATTTGAGAGAGAGAGAGAAAAAAAAAAAAACCTTCCCTTCAAGATTTTCTCCTCTAGTGGATTCATTTGTGCACATGCCCTTTGCAGCGTGTTCAAAGGCATCACCCAAATCCAGAGGAATTTCTTTCTTTCTGGATATTCAGTGGTTGATCCAGAAGAAAAGCACGGATTGTTTCCGTAGCTTGTTTATTGGCCATCGATGGCAACGTTCAGACAATTAGGCTAATCAGGTTGGTTCACAAGACCTACAGGCTGCGTCCACAAACCGTACCAAGCTTGCCTGTTTATTTTGATACGCAAGCGTACACATATCGCTCTTCCAAACCCACCGGTCTTACAGTGCAAGGTTAATTTTACTTTGGAGAAGGATGAGAGTAAGTGGCTTCTGCAAACCTAAACTGTTTAGTGACGAGGCCAGTTTGTGCATCCTTAAAATGGGTTCATTTAGGAATCAGGAGACGTGTCTGCAGCACGTCTATTTAATTCTAGGGGGGAAAAACACTCAGGTTAAATAGCATTCATCTGTGCTGCGTAGTTATCTGTCTCCGTGGACTAAAATACTGCCATCGTGGTTTAAGCTAGAGGATGGTTTTTCTAAGCTAGAGGACTGGTTTTGCAGTAGGTATTGGCATGTTTGTCAGTCTGTCTGTCAATAAGTTCTCTTGCACTCAGAAAGTTCCTTCTGCTTGGCATCACCCTGCCTATCTACATTCCTTGTATCCCTCTCTCTAATGCTATTTCTCCAGAATATCACTTGCCTCAGTGAGTTCCCCCCCAAATCGGTGTGTTCTCCCCATCAAACTAAGAAGGGGGTGGTGGTGGAGGAGAGAATGAGAACAGACCAAAGGGCAATTTTTTCCCCCACACAGAAATGAAATCAAATTACGGAAATCACAAGTACAAGACACAACTGACAACTGAGATTTCAGCAATGTCAGAGTTGGAAGGAACCTTGATGGAGGTTTCTAATCCAACCCCTTGTGCCCTGGGGGCACAGTGGTTAGAGTGCAGCACTGCGGGCTACTTCTGCTGACTGCTGGCTGCCTGCAAATTGGCAATTCAAATGTCACCAGGCTCAAGGTTGACTCAGCCTTCCATCCTTCCGAGGTCAGTAAAATCAGGACCCAGATTGTTGAGGACAAAAATGCTGCCCCTGTAAACTGCTTAGAGAGGGCTGTAAAAGCACTGTGAAGCAATATATAAATGCTACTGTTATTGCCCAAGTAGGAGACCCTGTCACTATTCCAGACAAGTGGCTGTCCGGTCTCTTTTTCTGGAGGCAAGCTGCTTTTTCACTGATTGTTCTCACTGTCAGGAAATTTCTCCCTAGTTCTAGGTTGCTTCTCTTCTTGACTAGTTTCCATCCGTTTTGTTTCCTTGTCTTGCCTTCTGGTGCTTTGGAAAATAAGTTGACTCCCTCTTCTTTGTGGCAGCCCCTCAAATATTGGAACCCTGCTACCGCGTCACTCCTTAGCCTTCTTTTCCCGAGATTAGACATACCCAAGAGCGATGATTCATCGAGGAGATGACTATCAACAGCTACTAGACGAGGTTTAGGATATCAGAGATGGTGTGCCTCTAAACCAGGGGTCTTCAAACTTGGCAAGCTTGAAGACTTGTGGACTTCAACTCCCAGAATTCCTCCTCTAGTCGTGTTAGCTCGGGAATTCTGGGAGTTTGAAGTCCACCAGTCTTAAACTTGCCAAGTGCGAAGACCCTTGCTCTAAACAGTGGTTTCTAGGATGGTCGATCTCATGCCCTACATGTGAACGTCCACAAAAATCTAGTCTGTCTTTGTAATTCATCAGATGCTAAGATTGGACAGTTCATGGCTCTTATGTTTTGATACTCAGGAGAAAAGATTCCTAACTTTGAGATCTTTTGAGATCTGAGCTTGGTTGTTTTCTTGCAGGTGTTTCATTACCAAATTAAGTAACATCACCAGCACTGATTGTGTTACCTAGTATGGTAATGAAAGGTCTGCAAGAAAGCGATAATAGCAATAGCACTTACTTATATACCACTTTATAGTGCTTCACAGCCCTCTATAAGCAGTTTACAGAGTCAGCCTCTAGCCCCCAACAATCTGGGCCCTCATTTTAGCCACCTCAGAAGGATGGAAGGCTGAGTCAACCTTGAGCCTGGTGGGATTCGAACTGCCAAGTTGCAGATCGATCTATCAGCAGAAGTAGTTTGCAGTACTGCCCTCTAACCACTGTGCCATAAAGCTCAGAGAGCACCCATAGACCCCACAGTTCAATCCCAGGCTATGAATATTCTCATTTATCAATTCCCAACTTGTTTCATACTTACATCCTGAATATCTCCGTGGTCAATCTTAGAAGGGATAGAAAAAAACTTCCAGCACTGGTCAGGAAATCTCTCTCTCTCTCTCAATCCAGTCCTTTTTTTTTTGAAAAATGAAGCTGCAGGCACTTCTCACTCTCCTCATGTGAGTTGGTGGATACCATAACAACTACTTCATGCACCATGAACGTGTCTGAGATGAGTAATACTGCAACCATTGTAAATACATAGCAGTGGCCAAGTGCCTGAATTTTGATCACATGATCGTGGAGATGTTGTAATTGGGTATTAACTGTAAGGACTGGTCATAAATCAATTCTTTCAGTGCCGTCGTAACTGAAAAGAGATTGTGAAACAAATGGTCACAAGTCAAGGACTGCCTGTCTGAGACCTGAATAGCGACATCACTCTATTGGGTGTCAATGTACGCTTGTCAATATTCTCCCTTTTGCATACAAGCGTGTTCTAGGCGAGAAAGGATGGGATTGCAAGCAGGCAAAGGACTCTGGGAATTGTAGTCCTTGCCCTACTGCAGGATGTCTAGTTGGGAAAAGCAGAACTGAGACACTGCGCTGGAACTACTGAGATATTGATCTGTATGGATGAATGTCAGGTTTATGCAAAGATCCTTTGGAATCTTTCTTCTTCTATAATATTCTACAATCCCATAATGGAACAAGCAAGACATATCCAAACCATGGCTATGATTAACTGTTACCATGTTTGCCCCCAAAATAAGACCCTGCCTTATATTTTTTTGACACCAAAAAAAGGCACCAGGTCTTATTTTTGGGGGAAGTATAAACCACTGACTCACCTCACTTGAGCACTTCACCCCTGACCTCCTTTTCATTGTCAGAGGCCTTCAAGAACTTCTTCTGTGGCTGGCAAGGCTTTCCCTGAAGGCCTCTTCAGACGGTAAGAGAGTTCCAGATCGATTCGGAGCTTTGTTATCAGCTACGGAGGCTTTCAGGAAAGCCTTGCCAGCTGCAGAAGAAATAGGCTGGCAAGGCAGGTGTCAAGGTGTGCGAGGCCTGGCTACAACTGTCCAAAGGTAAGTAGTCGGGCAGCTCCACCCCCAGATCCCTATCCT